CGTGGGGTCCTCACACACACGTGGGGTCCTCACACTCGCGTGGGGTCCTCACGGTCCTCCCCGAGACCCATGCAGTCCAGGTATATGGAATATAATAACAATATTATTCACTTGAGCAGGGGTAGGCTTTAGCATGTTTATCTCTGAGAGAAACACATACATATTTAGCCGTAAGATTCACACTGATGTTATGAGGAGATAATATGAGAGGCTACCGAGGTTAATTAGAACGTGAGAACGGCATGACTCGACTGGCCCATGTCTGCCTCAGCCTGACTCCAGCTGGCTTATGTCTGCCTCAGCCTGACAACCGACGTCATGCTTATGTCTGCCTCAGCCTGACTCCAGCCGGCTCATGTCTGCCTGAGCCTGACTCCAACCGGCTCATGTCTGCCTCAACCTATATACCACGGTAAATAATGTCTCAGGATTTCACTAATATATTACAAAGATTGTTACACATTTACAATAGAATTAGTAAAACTATTCGGCAATTAATAAGTTTATTCATGTAGCCAATGGCGGTAAATGCAACGTTTGCATTTACAACCAATTGCTACCTATGTTTAAAAGCTCGAAATTACACGAAGTTAACAAACCTTAGACCACACACGGGACAAGCTGCACAATAGTCTCCTGAAGGTGCATGAGACTAACACCTTCACACGTTATTGCATTATGTCAGTGAAAGGAATCCTTCACTCTCAGCACAACTGTATTATCCTCGATACTTGATTGAGTGACAACAACTGTATTATTCCTGCAACTGCAGAGGACTGGTAGTGTCATCATTATCACATATGAAAGTGACAGTTGTACCGAGAACACAAACAAGACTGGCAGTATGACCCGCAGTACACCCACCCGCGAGCTACACCCGCAGTACATCCACCCGCGAGCTACACCATTAAAAACACCACGAAGGGGCCGCCACCTCAGCTTCAGCGCGAGGCGCTAACCTAGGCCCTAACTCCATCTCACCTCATTAGTTTCGTGGATCTAACTTACATTTTGTCCAAAGGATTTTAAATATGACGTGAACAAAGATCCAAAATTAGTTATTATTAATATTATGAACAATATCATTAATGCAACATCTATTGTCGTTTTATTTTCATATCCTTTAAGTGCAAAACAATACTTGTAATTATGACAATATTAAAAATAGGCTCTTATTGTAATGTTTGTGGAGGAGACACAGCTGTGTGTGTTGGTGGGGGAGACACAGCTGTGTGTGTTGGTGGGGGAGACACAGCTGTGTGTGTTGGTGGGGGAGACACAGCTGTGTGTGTTGGTGGGGGAGACACAGCTGTGTGTGTTGGTGGGGGAGACACAGCTGTGTGTGTTGGTGGGGGAGACACAGCTGTGTGTGTTAGTGAGGGAGATACAGCTGTGTGTGTTGGTGGGGGAGACACAGCTGTGTGTGTTGGTGGGGGAGACACGGCACCAGTCACATGTGTAACTGGTGCAGAAGTCTATGTCGAAGGCTTTCTGACAATCCAAAAATAACAGTCGGCCCTCGCTTCTAGAGAGAAATGAAGAGAAATATGTCATTTCTCCAGTTACAGGAAGAACCCGAGGATAACTAGTCTTCAAGACAGTTACAGGTAGAACCAGAGGATAACCAATTCACACGACACATTGAAAGTACAATATTTGACTTTTAGTTAGAAGCACAATTTCACGAATTGTTATAAAGGGTCTAAAATGTACTTAAGAATGTACTCACATGAATATTATGGGACAGTTTTTGGGTCAGAATTTACATCATATAATTGGATTAGTATCGCAAAGTCGGCGACAGAAAGCTTGTTAGCCTCTTGGAAGTCGTCCAACCCAGCGACAGGTAGTCCCCAAGATGCAGCCCACAACAGCTGGCTAACTCCCTGGTGTACCTATTGCTCTTACATGAATGGGGGGCATCAGGAGGTACGAAAAGGGACCAAAACATGCCGTCCTGGCCTGGCCGGGTCGAATATTAAATTGTTGGCCGATTCCACTGTTCACTGCTCTAAAATGCCATGTTACAAAAATATATTTTTTTATTGTAACAATGTACAATTTCGTACCAATATCTGTACTCAACCTTTTGTACGGGGTAAAACGAAGACGAGATGGAAGAAAACAAATGGAAGATAGTAAGAAAAAGATTCATAGATCGTTTCATCTCAATAAAGTTGTGGGAAGCTGTAAGTCACACTAATGAGGTAATAATGCCCGCGGGTGGTGAGAGTGAACCAGCAAACGAACAGAGGATGAAGGAACACCAGAAAACTGAGCGGCTCTGTGAACCACAAACAAAAATAAACGCTGATAGGAAACGATGATCGCGCTCACTCGCGCACCTCCATATTGCTTACATTACGGGAGAGAAAACAAAAGAGAGTCGGGTGAGTGAATATAAGCACCAGACAAGACCTTAGAAAACAGGAAAATTCTTGCCGGTAGTAACAAATGAAACCTCGAGACTCAAGTAGTGAAACGAGTTTTTCCACCTACTGACGTCCACGGTAAGACATTTAAGCACAAGACCAGCCAGCACAGTACAGGTAGAGACGCCAGTGAAGCCGGCAGGTCGCTCCCCACACACACAGACCAAAGTGTGGCATCAAAACTTGACTACCAACGATAAAAGGTAAACTTTACTTTTTAAAACCTTCGTGCATACATATTTTCCTTTTTAGTAGCACTATTTTTCCTTTTTAGTGGCTGGTCAGTAGGGCGGTGTGCCAGTGTTAAGAGCATACCTCAAAGTGGATGCTCCTCGCTAGGCTTCCCTGGAGCACGACGTCCACGCTCCGGGGGCCGCCACGACCGCTCGTGGCCTCACCTTAAGAAATTAACTTTTCCCGGTGTTGGACGACACTGGGCAAGTGGCTCGTGGTCTGCCCGGGTCTCTTACTTGAACACAACGTATTATATACAAAGTGTTAACCTAACCAGCAACGAATGCACCCATGCAACCCACCTAACCTCTCCTGCCGATGCATAGATAATGGGGATATTTGTGTACCATTACTTTTCATAGTACTTTGTAATTTGTACGTTGAGGACCTTAACGAACGGAATGAGACGTATTAGTTGAGAGGAGAGGTTGTAATGTTATTGGTGCTTGCATCCTGCAACACAGCCTTGATGTGGTAGACGTACAAGCATCTTGAACCACAGATGGTATGCGGTAGATGTGCCTGCGTCCTGTACCACAGGTGTTATGAGGTAGACGTGCCTGCGTCCTGTACCACAGGTGTTATACACGTGCCTGCGGTACCACATTATGAGGTAGACGTGCCTGCTGTACCACAGGTGTTATAAGGTAGAGTACCACAGGTGTTATGAGGTAGACGTGCCTGCGTCCTGTACCACAGGTGTTATGAGGTAGACGTGCCTGCGTCCTGTACCACAGGTGTTATGAGGTAGACGTGCCTGCGTCCAGTACCACAGGTGTTATAAGGTAGACGTGCCTGCGTCCTGTACCACAGGTGTTATGAGGTAGACGTGCCTGCGTCCTGTACCACAGGTGTTATGAGGTAGACGTGCCTGCGTCCTGTACCACAGGTGTTATGAGGTAGACGTGCCTGCGTCTTGCACCAAAGGTGCTATGTAGTAGAAGTGCTCGTATTCTACACCACAGGTAATACGAGGTAAGCATGCTTGCGTCCTGTACCTTATGTATTTTGTCGTAAATGTGCTTGCATCCCACACCAAACGTATTATGTGGTAAGCGAGCTTGTGTCCTGCACCACAAGTATTAAGAGATGAAGGTGCTTGGCTCCTGTACCATATGTGTTATGTGGTAATTGTGCTTGCACAGCCGGCGGCTGAGCGGACAGAACACTGGTCCCGTGATCCTGTGGTCCCGGGTTCGTCCCCGGGCGCCGGCGAGAAACAATAGGCGAAGTTTCTTTTACCCTGATGTCCCTGTTACCTAGCAGTAAATAGGTACCTGGGAGTTAGTCAGCTGTCACGGGCTGCTTCCTGGGGGTGGAGGCCTGGTCGAGGACCGGGCCGTGGGGACACTAAAGCCCCGAAATCATCGGAAGATAACCTCAAGATAGCCACCTGCACCATGTGTGTTAAGAGGTAGACGCACTCTCATACTACACTACAGGTGTGATGAGTTAGACCTGTGGTGCAGCCGGACGCGCCACAGGTCCTGTGAGGATGACGTGGTTTTGTCTTGCATCATAGGTGTTATGAGGTTGAGGTGCTCACATCTCACAATTGAAGGATCACAGACTACATAGTGACGTCTCATTCCTTTGTCGAGTAATACCTGGACGGACCAAGAGCTGGGACATGATGACGGAGTAATGGAATGGTGCCAACCCTCTAGCACTATCGGGGAATCGAACTCCGAACTTGCAACAAACGAGGCAATGGCTCTTTTGACCATTGTGGCATCTGTGATGAATAAATGCATTTCACCTGATTATTACTCACACTACATACGATCATTTTCTTAAATATCTCTGATTATTTTATATTACCTGACTCATATAAATGATTCCACAGGTGAAGGATGATGACTGGCTGGGTGACCTTCCTGGCGTGGGTGGTTGTGTTGCTGCTCTGTGGCGCTCCCTCACCGGCTCTGTCTGGTAGCTACCCTAATGCATCTGTCCTCTTATATGTTGCCGTAATATAGCAACAAAAGTTATAACCATACGATATACATCTGTTTTCAAATCTTACAAAAATTTATATTGTAATATTGGTAAATGTAGATTTATATTAGCTTTCCACCGTAACACTGATGTCTCCTGCTCCCAGACGAGCCGCAGGAGACCACAGGTGATCGCACTTGTCATCTCTTTTTCTCTCTCTTCCTTACAGAGAGCGTCGGGCGGCCGGGTGTTCCTGGAGGCAGCGCCAGGCTGGCCAGACACGCCCAGTTCGGTGGTTTTGGTGCACGTGGAAGTGGTAGTTTTGGTGGAGGTTTTGGTGCAGGTGGAGGTGGATGCCTTCTACCCGAGCGCGGTATTATTGCAGTGTCTTTCTTGTAGACATATATTATTGACTATGATACAAGGGGGGGGGGGGTTAGCCCAATGTTTCTAGCACGAATCTTTTCTATGCTTTTAATGTTCTTCACTCAAGAAGGAAGTTCAAAAATAAACTCTCCAAAGTTCCTTTTACAATCTTATACTGTTTGCCGCTATACAGGAGAGTGAATGATGGACTGTAATGGAAAACACAAATGATGCTAGGTTAAAAATTTGTTGAAATATCGCCTATGAAATTGATATTATTATTGTTATCATCTCCATGCACTGTTAGTATGTTTAAGGATTTGATCTTTTCATGTGTGTTTATTTTCTTTCCAGGGAGCGGCATTTACTTCTTGGTCAGGCAGAAATTCCTTTTGGAGACCTCGAATCAGATTTGGGCTATCCGGGCCATTCTTTTGACAATGGTACAGGGGCTAACTTCACTTCACCTGGCTGATGGCGTCACCTGGCTGATGACGTCACCTGGCTGATGGCGTCACCTGGCTGATGGCGTCACCTGGCTGATGACGTCACCTGGCTGATGGCGTCACCTGGCTGATGGCGTCACCTGACTGATGACGTCACCTGCCTGATGGCGTCACCTGGCTGATGGCGTCACCTGGCTGAGGGCATCACCTGGCTGATGGCGTCACCTTCCTGAGGGCATCACCTGGCTAATGACATATACTCAACACTTGCGGAGTTCAGAACAAGCAAAACTCCTCCAACATTGCATTTTCTATATATATAAATAAAACATAATAAAACGATACATTTCCCGTTTCTTTATTTGTGGTGAAGGTGGACCTGCCGGAGGGCGCCGCTGTTAGGCCAGTGTACTGTTGTTAGGCCAGAGTACTGTTGATAGGCCAGAGTACTGTTGATAGGCCAGAGTACTGTTGTTAGGCCAGAGTACTGTTGTTAGGCCAGAGTACTGTTGTTAGGCCAGAGTACTGTTGATAGGCCAGAGTACTGTTGATAGGCCAGAGTACTGTTGATAGGCCAGAGTACTTTTGATAGGCCAGAGTACTGTTGTTAGGCCGGAGTACTGTTGATAGGCCAGAGTACTGTTGATAGGCCAGAGTACTTGTGATAGGCCAGAGTACTGTTGTTAGGCCAGAGTACTGTTAGGCCAGAGTACTGTTGTTAGGCCAGAGTACTGTTGTTAGGCCAGAGTACTGTTGTTAGGCCAGAGTACTGTTGTTAGGCCAGAGTACTGTTGTTAGGCCAGAGTACTGTTGTTAGGCCAGAGTACTGTTGATAGGCCAGAGTACTGTTGTTAGGCCAGAGTACTGTTGTTTGGCCAGAGTACTGTTGTTAGGCCAGAGTACAGTTGTTAGGCCAGAGTACTGTTGTTAGGCCAGAGTACTGTTGATAGGCCAGAGTACTGTTGTTAGGCCAGAGTACTGTTGTACTGTTGTTAGCTGTTGTTAGGCCAGAGTACTGTTGTTAGGCCAGAGTACTGTTGATAGGCCAGAGTACTGTTGTTAGGCCAGAGTACTGTTGTTAGGCCAGAGTACTGTTGATAGGCCAGAGTACTGTTGTTAGGCCAGAGTACTGTTGTTAGGCCGGAGTACTGTTGATAGGCCAGAGTACTGTTGTTAGGCCAGAGTACTGTTGATAGGCCAGAGTACTGTTGTTAGGCCAGAGTACAGTTGTTAGGCCAGAGTACTGTTGTTAGGCCAGAGTACTGTTGATAGGCCAGAGTACTGTTGTTAGGCCAGAGTACTGTTGTTAGGCCAGAGTACTGTTGTTAGGCCAGAGTACTGTATCTAGTACACAAGGCAACTATGAATTGTCCCCACCGTCTCATAAGCGTCAAATTTTAAGTGGTTTTGTCGAACCAAAAGCTATAGACGACAGGGTCAAACGTCCACCACGGAGGATCAATATTATGGAACTTATACTATCATAAAGCACTTGGAATATGACGCTGTGATCTATAGCGTATATATTGACGTGCGTTAAGTGTGAGGACAGGAGTCTTTATCACACGTGTGTCTATATCAAGAGACAAGAGGCACTGAACTACAGGCCAGTGTCCTTAACTTGTATACCATGCAAGGTGATAGAGAAGATTGTGAGAAAAACCTAGTAACACATCTGGAGAGAAGAGACTTCGTGACAACCCATCAACATGGGTTCAGGGAGGGTAAATCTTGCCTTACAGGCTTGATAGAATTCTACGATCAGGTGACAAAGATTAAGCAAGAAAGAGAAGGATGGGCGGACTGCATTTTTTTGGACTGTTGGAAAGCCTTTGACACAGTACCCCATAAAAGGTTGATGCATAAGCTGGAGAAACAGGCAGGAGTAACTGGTAGGGCGCTCCAGTGGATAAGGGAGTACCTAAGCAATAGGAAGCAGAGAGTTACAGTGAGGGGTGAGACCTCAGAATGGCGTGAAGTCACCAGTGGAGTCTCACAGGGCTCTGTACTTGGACCTATCCTGTTTCTGATATACGTAAATGATCTCCCAGAGGGTATAGACTCATTCCTCTCAATGTTTGCTGACGACGCCAAAATTGTGAGAAGGATTAAGACAGAGGAGGACAGCTTGAGGCTTCAAGAAGACCTGGACAAGCTGCAGGAATGGTCGAACAAATGGCTGTTAGAGTTTAACCCAAGCAAATGTAATGTAATGAAGATAGGGGTAGGAAGCAGGTGACCAGATACAAGGTATCATTTGGGAGATGAAATACTTCAAGAGTCAGAGAGAGAGAGAAAGACCTGGGGGTTGATATCACGCCAGACCTGTCCCCTGAAGCTAATATCAAGAGGATAACATCAGCAGCATATGCCAGGTTGGCTAACATAAGAACGGCCTTTAGAAACTTGTGTAAGGAATCTTTCAGAACATTATATACCACATATGTCAGACCAATCCTGGAGTATGCGGCTCCAGCATGGAGTCCATATCTAGTCAAGCATAAGACTAAACTGGAAAAGGTTCAAAGGTTTGCCACCAGACTAGTACCCGAGCAGAGAGGTATGAGCTACGAGGAGAGATTACGGGAATTAAACCTCACTTCGTTTGAAGACAGAAGAGTTACGGGGGACATGATCACCACATTCAAGATTCTCAAGGGAATTGACAGGGTTGATAAAGACAGGCTATTTAACACAAGGGGCACACGCACTAGGGGACACAGGTGGAAACTGAGTGCCCAAATGAGCCACAGAGATATTAGAAAGAACTTTTTTAGTGTCAGAGTGGTTGACAAATGGAATGCATTAGGAAGTGATGTGGTGGAGGCTGACTCCATACACAGTTTCAAGTGTAGATATGATAGAGCCCAATAGGCTCAGGAACCTGTACAACTGTTGATTGACGGTTGAGAGGCGGGACCAAAGAGCCGGAGCTCAACCCCCGCAAGCACAACTAGGTGAGTAACTAGGTGAGTACACGTCTCAATAACGTGATGATGTTCATTAAGAACCTGGTGGTGTTCAGTGACATGGCGGTGTTCAGTGATGACCTGTGGTGTTCAGTGATGACCTGGCGGTGTTCAGTGATGACCTGTGGTGTTCAGTGATGACCTGGTGGTGTTCAGTGATGACCTGGTGGTGTTCAGTGATGACCTGGTGGTGTTCAGTGACCTGGTGATGTTCAGTGATGACCTGGTGGTGTTCAGTGATGAGCTGGTGGTGTTCAGTGACCTGGTGATGTTCAGTGATGACCTGTGGTGTTCAGTGATGCCCTGGCGGTGTTCAGTGATGACCTGTGGTGTTCAGTGATGACCTGGCGGTGTTCAGTGATGACCTGTGGTGTTCAATGATGACCTGGTGGTGTTCAGTGACCTGGTGATGTTCAGTGATGACCTGTGGTGTTCAGTGATGACCTGGCGGTGTTCAGTGATGACCTGTGGTGTTCAGTGATGACCTGGTGGTGTTCAGTGATGACCTGGTGATGTTCAGTGATGACCTGGTGGTGTTCAGTGACCTGGTGATGTTCAGTGATGACCTGGTGGTGTTCAGTGACCTGGTGGTGTTCAGTGACCTGGTGGTGTTCAGTGATGACCTGGTGGTGTTCAGTGACCTGGTGGTGTTCAGTGATGACCTGGTGGTGTTCAGTGATCTGGCGGTGTTCAGTGACCTGGCGGTGTTCAGTGACGACCTGGCGGTGTTCAGTGACGACCTGGTGGTGTTCAGTGATCTGGCGGTGTTCAGTGACCTGGCGGTGTTCAGTGACGACCTGGCGGTGTTCAGTGACGACCTGGCGGTGTTCAGTGACTTGCTGGTGTTCAGCGACCTGGTGGTGTTCAGTGATGACCTGGTGGTGTTCAGTGCCCTGGTGGTGTTCAGTGATGACCTGGTGGTGTTCAGTGATGACCTGGTGGTGTTCAGTGACCTGGTGGTGTTCAGTGACCTGGTGGTGTTCAGTGATGACCTGGTGGTGTTCAGTGATGACCTGGTGGTGTTCAGTGACCTGGTGGTGTTCAGTGACCTGGTGGTGTTCAGTGTGACCTGGTGGTGTTCAGTGACCTGGTGGTGTTCAGTGACCTGGTGGTGTTCAGTGATGACCTGGTGGTGTTCAGTGATGACCTGGTGGTGTTCAGTGATGACCTGGTGGTGTTCAGTGATGACCTGGTGGTGTTCAGTGATGACCTGGTGGTGTTCAGTGATGACCTGGTGGTGTTCAGTGATGACCTGGTGGTGTTCAGTGACGACTTGGTGGTGTTCAGTGATGACCTGGTGGTGTTCAGTGATGAACTGGTGGTGTTCAGTGACCTGGTGGTGTTCAGCGACCTGATGGTGTTCAGTGTGTTCAGTGACCTGGAGATGAAAAACATTTTTTTTAGTAACACTCAAAAAGCTCTTGGGACATATAGGCCCCTTAATACCTTACATCCAAAACAAGGTGATGGGAAATTCCCTGAGAAAGAAGATAATAGAATATCCGGTGAGACGAACACCAGCGAAGGTTAATGAACAACAAATATTGCCTCACAAACTTTATATAATTCTGGGACTGAGAGACAGAGATCAGACGAGACAAAGATCAGATCTAGACAAGTGATCTCCCAGAAGGAATGTACTACTTTCTCTCGATGTTTGCTGATAATGCATCAATATAAAGAGGAAACATATAGTGGAGAAGTATAATAAGCTACACGATGACCTGGAAAAATTTAAAAAACGCGGTCCCTAAAAAGTGGCTACTAGACTTTAACTAAGGCAAGTGTAAATTAATGTTGAGGCAACATGAAACCAGATGCAAAGTATCAAGAATCGAATATAGAAAAATCCTGGAGAGTTGATATGATATCATTAGCTGCACCTGCAAGACTGACCAACATAAAAACTTCCATCAGAAACCAAAATACAGATTGATTTAGGACCCTGCATACCACATACCTGCATACCACATACCTGCATACCACATACCTGCATACCACATACCTGCATACCACATACCTGCATACCACATACTTGCATACCACATACACATCACACCAATCAGGTTTGGAGTATGTGGCGAGCGCATGAGGCGGTTATATCGTTAAACACGCACACACTCACAAACTCCAGAGGCATACCGGATAGATAAATCGAAGAGTTGATAGAGATGAATTATGAGAAAATAGAGGAATTAATCTACAACTGTAAAGTCAGAAGAGTTAGGTAAGATATTTTTCCAATAAATGTCTCATTGACAGTGACGAGGTAGAGACAAGGACAGATACTTGGAATTGGTGCTACACAAACACAGGGGACACAGCTCGAAACCAAGTACCCAAATAAGAAAGACAAACAATTGAAAGAATTTTTCATTGTCGGAAACAGTAAACAGAAGGAATGGGAAAAAAAGTAAAATAATGTATGCGAAGTCTGTTCACTGCTTCAAATGAATATACGACATGTGAGATGCATGACGAATGAGTTGAATCTTAATGAGTGAACGCACAATTAGGCGAGTACACACACACACACACACACACACACACACACACACACACACACACACACACACACACACACACACACACACACACACACACACACAAGGTACCATCTGGGAGAGGAAATCCTTCAGGAGTCAGAGAAAGAAAAAGACTTGGGAGTTGATATCACGCCAGACCTGTCTCCTGCAGCACATATCAATAGGATAACTTCAGCGGCATATGCCAGGCTGGCCAACATACGAACGGCATTCAGAAATTTGTGTAAAGAATCATTCAGAACTTTGTATACCACATATGTCAGGCCAATTCTGGAGTATGCAGCCCCAGCATGGTGTCCATATCTAGTCAAGGATAAGACTAAACTGGAAAAGGTTCAAAGATTTGCCACCAGACTAGTACCCGAGCTGAGAGGTATGAGCTACGAGGAGAGACTGCGCTACATTCAAGATTCTCAAGGGAATTGATAGGGTAGATAAAGACAGGCTATTTAACACAAGGGGCACACGCACTAGGGGACATAGGTGGAAACTGAGCGCCCAAATGAGCCACAGAGATATTAGAAAGAACTTTTTTAGTGTCAGAGTGGTTGACAAATGGAATGCATTAGGAAGTGATGTGGTGGAGGCTGACTCCATACACAGTTTCAAGTGTAGATATGATAGAGCCCAATAGGCTACATTCACACAAGAACCAGCTCCGTAACAGCTGTCTAACTCCCAGGTACCTATTTACCGCTAGGAGCATCAGGGTGAAAGAAACTTTGCCCATTTGTTTCTGCCTGGTCCGGGAATCGAACCCGGGTCACAGAATTACTAGTCCTGCATGCGTTCCGCTCCCCTACCAGACCCCACCTTCCCCTCCCCCTAACATTACATTCCATTTTTACGTTACGTCTTAACATAACGTAACGTAGCGTACCTAACTTAATCTAACGTACCTCTTAACATAACGTTTTACTACTTTCCTCCTATGTTTTAGGAGGTTACGTCTCCTGGTGAGGGGAGTCATAGTCCATCCTTGATGATGTCGTGTGTGTGTGTGTGTGTGTGTGTGTGTGTGTGTGTGTGTGTGTGTGTGTGTGTGTGTGTGTGTGTGTGTGTGTGTGTGTGTGTGTGTGTGTGTGTGTTATATTCATATAACTTTCGGTGTTAATTTTCCAGGACAGAGTGTGATGGCTGCCTACCTGACCTTTCTGATGGTGGTGGTGGCTCTCTGGTGGACCCTCTCACCCGTTCACGCCGGTGGGTACCCCACATGTGCCACGCTTGATATATTTATGTGTAATAAGGTTTCAAAAATTTACAACAACAACAAAAACACTTGGGCTGCAGAATGTAAATTGTGATGTATAATCGAGTCATAACAGCTTGTTCCCTCGTAACTCGATAGTAATTGGAGGACATCGTTGTAAACTGATAGGCGAGGTGGTGTTCCAGCGGGAGCTGTTCTAGGGTAAGGTTTAGGATTACCTATGGAAAGGAAAAGAGCTAATCCTTTCAACAAGAGTTAAAATGTATCTACGCCTGTGCCATTTATCTGTATTTTTTTTTACAAAATATCAATTTACAATTTACAACTATCAAATGACAGTTGGCTTCGTTACCGACATATAATCGGAGGGGACCCGGGTTCTAACTGTTAGGTGGGGAATGTTGGCATCATCTTTGTCTGTCATCCGTCACAGAGAACGTCGGAGGGGTGACTGCTCCAGAGCGCGGCGCCAGCCTCATCACACAACCTCCGCTAGAAAGAAGTAAGAGAAGAATCGCCGGTGGACGCGACGCTTCCAAACCTGCCGTGGTAATGTTAATACACACTGCCGTCTGTTGCGCCCTCTGTCTAGCTATGTGTTACAGCTTTTATATTTATCTTAAGACCTGAACACATGAACATTCTAACCCATTCTCCCAAAATATCTTTTTTTGTCTTTTGCCGGGAACAGGAAGCCTGTGTAAACATATACTTTAGGCTTTCATCAAGGTCGAACTACTGAACCTACCCAGGATGCAACCCCACAACAGTTGCCTAACTCCAGTGTACCTATGTAGTGTTAAGTGAACAGAGGCATTGAATGAAATAAAACGTGGCAGATTTAAGTCACTGGAGAGTCACTTATAAAGCTGTGGTAAGGATAAATTGCAAATAGGCACTTATAAAGGGGCAGATAGTGGCCTAAGAAAGGGTGATAATATTAAAGGTAGTCACTTAATAAGAGGAGGTAATTATAACAATAATAATATTTTATGCAAGAAAATATACAGAAGTAGCGATACAGTGCATTAATCAAAAGTTTCATAAACAATGCAGTAAAAACAGCGAGTCAGCAAGAAGTGTGAAAATAAGTCCAACATCTTGTCTAATTCTTCAATAAAGAAAATATGTATTTAGTAATATCATTTATTGTATTAATAGTTCAGAGTGAATAATGTTTTAACGTTTCTTGCAGGGAGCATTACTGAGAGCTTCAGGCAGTATCAGAAACCGACGTCCAACTGTGGTATATGGTCGCAGGCGCTAGCCTCGTCTCACGCAGCCCTGCAATACAGACCCACTTCATACACAGCCCCACCTGCAGGCGATGAGTCACAATAACGTGGCTGAAGTATGATGACCAGACCACACACTAGAAGGTGAAGGGACGACGACGTTTCGGTCCGTCCTGGACCATTCTCAATCCACGTGAGAATGGTCCAGGATTGACCGAAACGTCGTCGTCCCTTCACCTTCTAGTGTGTGGTCTGGCCAATAAACCCACCTCTCACACAACCCCACTTGTCTTAGATTCACCAAACGACCTGCACCTCGTATATACACACACCCACCTCACAGACCAGCCGCACATAGCTGGTGTCGAAGTTAACAAATTAAATTTGATCAGCGTCACTCATCCCATCCATTATGGCTACATTATGTCCATCTCAAGCATTTGATCTACTATCAACTCCAACCTTGGCTGATGGTACATTCTGGTATGTCAGCCTTGAATTGTTTTCATCTCGTATTATGTTGCAGCAAATAATGAGTGTATTTTATTTAGTAAAATGCATCTCATTTTAGTTTCAAATTATTTAGAATAATCATTGATGTTAATAATTCTGTAATGTATTAATCTCTGTCGTTCTTATAAACAATACCTGAGAGTATGTTTGTGTTCCTCACCATGCACTCTCCTTCCTCTGGTGTTGCTGCGAGTTCAGTAATACTCACATGGGGTATGACTAACGTTAAGAAGCACTCTCCCCTCTCCACTGTACATCAGTTGATTGACGGTTGAGAGGCGGGACCAAAGAGCCAGAGCTCAACCCCCGCAAGCACAATTAGGTGAGTACTGTTCCTGTTAATTCATCAGTAAGTTTATCAAAAGTCATGTTAATTTAAGAAGGTAACCATACAAACTTTAGCATATAAAATTGTATATGAATTTCACATTTATTGTGTCATCGACAATAATGTTAATGGTATTTCTGCAGTTTTGTTGACTAAAGCTGACGCTAAGTATGATGATAGTAACGAGGTGATTCTTGCTTTAAATTTAAATCCCATTTATGATTTCAACTACAAGATTAGTCCAGTTCATCCTCAGAAGCGATGCCCTTCGACTTGGACTGGTCAGTAGAGAGACACTTTCCCTTCTTGCATGATCGGGGTTCGATTCCCGATGGTTCCAAGTTGTAGGGCACCGAACCTCACTCCATCCTCATTTGCTACTTCCTTGTCTTCATATTCCTTACACATGCTATATATATATATAGCCATACTGGCTTAGCACTTTTACCTATTAGTCACCTTACCTCGTGTGGCGCCTCATTAACTTCCTTTTCTTTCCTGTCCTTAATAATTACTCAGTAAAACAGCTTTATAAGCATATAGTAACAAGCTTGGCAGCAGGATGCTGCTTCTGGAAACTTTCCTTTTTAAGACTGTTCATAACCCAGTCGACAGGGCTACTGCCTCACACACACGTGGGGTCCTCACACTCGCGTGGGGTCCTCACACACGCGTGGGGTCCTCACACACGCGTAGGGTCCTCACGGTCCTCCCGAGACCCATGCAATCCAGGTGTATGGAATATAATTACAATATTATTCACTTGAGCAGGGGTAGGCTTTACCATGATTATCTCTGAGAGAAACACGTACAAATTTAGTCGTAAGATTTACACTGATGTTATGAGGAGATAATATGAGAGGCTACCGAGGTTAATTAGAACGTGAGAATGGCATGACTCGACTGGCCCATGTCTGCCTCAGCCTGACTCCAGCTGGCTTATGTCTGCCTCAACCTGACTCCAACCGGCTCATGTCTGCCTCAGCCTGACTCCAGCCGGCTCATGTCTGCCTCACCCTGACCCCCAGCCGGCTTATGTCTGCCTCAACCTATGTACAAGGGTAAATAATGTCTCAGGATTTCATTAATATATAACAAAGATTGTTAAACATTTACAATAGAATTAGTAAAACTAATCGGCAATTAATAAGTTTATTCATGTAGCCAATGGCGGTAAATGCAACGTTTGCATTTACAACCAATTGCTACCTATGTTTAAAAGCTCGAAATTACACGAAGTTAACAAACCTGAGACCACACACGGGACAAGCTGCACAATAGTCTCCTGAAGGTGCATGAGACTAACACCTTCACACGTTATTGCACTATGTCAGTGAAAGGAATCCTTCACTCTCAGCACAACTGTATTATCCTCGATACTTGGTTGAGTGACAACAACTGTATTATTCCTGCAACTGCAGAGGACTGGTAGTGTCATCATTATCACATATGAAAGTGACAGTTGTACCGAGAACACAAGCAAAGACTGGCAGTATGACCCGCAGTAGACCCGCAGTACACCCACCCGCGAGCTACACCCGCAGTACACCCACCCGCGAGCTACACCCGCAGTACACCCACCCGCGAGCTACACCCGCAGTACACCCACCTGTGAGCTACACCATTAAGAACACCACGAAGGGGCCGCCACCTCAGCTTCAGCGCGAAGCGAGGTAGCCTCCCGAGGAACCTGATATCAACGCTCCCTGCGAAGAAAAATTAATTACAATAATCAATAATAATCAGCTTTGTCGGCGATAGGAAGCGTTTATATATATATATATATATATATATATATATATATATATATATATATATATATATATATATATATATATATATATACATATATATATATATAATGGAATAATAGCTGACAGACTTCAAAGTAACTCTAGTGACGTGTAAAAATTATGTATATAAATAATATTAATAATAAAAGCAATAAAAGTGTTGTATTTTTAGTTCACATGCAACACTGCTGCTCTTCAGGAGCACCCCGATGTCACAACAAGGAAGGTTATCTTACCGTGCTCGGGTTGTTGGCATTTTGCCCGCCTACAAATAAGGCTTCGAAATTTCCTCCTCCTCCTGAAGCGGGCGATTGCGGCCTCCTCTGCCCTCCTGCAGAAGGTTGTGGGTGCCTCCGCTGCCCTCCTGCAGAAGGTTGCGGGTGCCTCCGCTGCCCTCCTGCAGAAGGTTGCGGGTGCCTTCGCTGCCCTCCTGCAGAAGGTTGCGGGCGCCTCCTCTGCCCTCCTGCAGATGGTGGCGTCTGCTTAGAGTGCGGGGGACGCCTGACATGACCTCCTGGAGAGTGCGTTGGTCGCCTTGCATGCCCTACAGTCCTGTGATGCCCAGGCTGTCTGCTCTCTGTGGGACGACAGTCGAAATAAGAGACCAGCACTTTTCTATGCGGCGACTGTAAGGATTTTGTTGATGCCAGTAATATAGACTAATGCAATACATTGTATTTAATAATTAGTGCATGTGTCGGAACAAAAGTTCCAAGTAGCACGGGCAATGGTGAACCCGTAGTGGACTTATTCACATATTATTATGATTCATTAATTATTACATAAAGTGAGTACCCACGCGAGAGAGCAGGTGAGGGCGTCCAGCAGAGCACCAGCAGCAGCACCAGCGGCGTCAAGCAGGACAGGTAGCCTGCCATCACAGCCCCTGCCACCTGGGAGACAACAGAACATGATCAAGGTTACTGTGTTGGGACCCATATGTTAGGGGGGTATATAACGAGGCAACAGGACCACCAATGTCACCCAACATATGGAAATCAAATCAATGACCATACGCAAATAATTAAGATGCGAGAAAGCACAGATCATGTTAATAGTTTGAAAAAGAGCGAAGCAAGACTGAGTGAAACTTGATCTTCAATCCATGATGGGAGAGCAAGAGAGAGAGAGAGAGAGAGAGATAGAGAGAGAGAGAGAGAGAGAGAGAGAGAGAGAGAGAGAGAGAGAGAGAGAGAGAGAGAGAGAGAGAGAGAGAGAGAGAGAGAGAGAGAGAGAGAGAGAGAGAGAGAGAGAGAGAGAGGATCAGGAGCTAGAAGTTAAAACAGGTATTAGTAGTGTAATTCCTCCTTTCCGGTGATAACGAGGCCAACAGTGAGATAGTTCTCGCGTGGCAAGAGGACCGTGAACGTTACCCAAGGCCAAACCTGCGCACTAGTAGTGCTTTGGCGTTGGCCTGTCAACCTCTGCTGTGTTATTAAGGCCGTAAAACTAGCTATTAACTATCCAGCAAATATGCTTTTATCCTGCACATTGTCCAGGAATAAAGTAAACTATCAGTGTATTTACACCAATAATAGGAATACACTTTTCAGTGTTGATATCTCATATATGAGCGTGGCAATAAGACAAGTTAGATGAGTAGCACCCACACTCCCCCACATCCTGAGAATTCACATCGAAGTATACCCCCCCCCCCTCCCTTCCTCAGCCCGGATTTCCGGTTTCCTTACCATGGGCCCCTTCCGCCTCCTGACCCCTCTACCATGGGCCCCTTCCGCCTCCTGACCCCTCTACCATGGGCCCCTTCCGCCTCCTGACCCCTCTACAATGGGCCTCTTCCATTTCCTCATTCCCTACCACGATACCTCCCCCCCCCCTCTAGAAGTCTCCGACACTCACTTAAGTCTACTCAATTTTGAGTGAGTCTTAAGTATCTGAGCCTACTCGGATGCTGAGCCAAGTCTCCTGCTCTTCAGACCAGACATTTACTGCTCTGAACACAACAACCACACACACTATCCCGTTCCCCCTCCAGAACCTATCCTTCCCTCTGCTTAATGCATCCTCAACACCATCTACTTAATCCTCCCTTCCCCCTCCCCACGACTTTTGATACTCCACCCCCTGCCAACTCTCCAGTTCCCCCTACCCAAATAGTTACAACCCATCTCTCTGGGTTTCCCCTTCAACTACACATCTAGTATCCCATTTTCTACAGCTCAATCACCCAGAAATTGACCATAACTGTGTTAGATATGGGAGGAAGGGCTCGACATGGGGTACAAGGCTGTGGGGAATGGAATATGGGGAAAAGACGGAATTTGGGCAGAATGGGGCGGTGGAGGATGGAGGGGAAGGGAGTTGGAGCACTCTGTGAGGGAAATTAATAGGCTAATGCAATCTCGTAATTCAGATTTATAAACTCCTACGACAAACCCAGGACGGTGGGGGGTGGGGGGGGAGGCACAAGACTGAACGACTAATGAGGGATCCAAAAGCTGGAACTTAACACATTCATGTAGAGTTGCAATAAGTATTTATGAACACACTTTCTATTCTCTCCTTCACATCCACCATAAATTGGATGGTTAAAAGGTTCTGCCGTTTTTCAAACATTTATATCTGAAAATGGCGTGTGTTATCAGCACCGCCCTGACTTACCTTCTCTATGGCTGGCCTCTAGCAAGTGTTGTCTGTCCCTACGAAGCTCGAGTCAGTCTACTGGATACTACGAGCGTCGCCGCTCTCACTGGCTCTCTCCAGCGTTCACACCCTTATATACGGACGAGGTTGATGGTACGTTTCGTGACGAGTATCAAAACTTCCTTATCGCGGGAAGTGACTTACGTTTATTTTCCTAAGAATTGTCAATCATAATCTACCAGGTTGTGCTCGGCTGTCTATACCAACCTGGCACATTCTGGCGGGCTTAACCTTCCTTCCTTCACACAAACACCGGCTTTAATACACTTAACTTTGATCACTACTTTAAGGTATTTTAAGATTTCCTGCTCCCGTCTTCTCGTTACACTCTACACGGCTGTGTGCTCATCCTCTTCCTCTTCGTCTTTTTGGAGATTGTAAAATATGCGTTTTTAACTTTTCTCTTTATAAAGGAGTGGAACTTCAATATGACTTGGGAAAGTCTGAAAGTTACGCAAGGCCTATTTGGGGAAGGAAATTTTTATACACTTCTTTTAGAACCTCGTCTTCTCTCTCTCATTTATTACTCATTTATAAAGAAGGTTTGTAAGTAATAAAGAAGGTTTGTAATTTCTTTCGTTTTATGAGTTAAAGTGACTTTATGTCCATTCTATGGATTGGAGACCAAAACTGATGAGCTGCATAATCTAAATGGTATTAACAAGGCCAAGAAACGACTATGGAATATTAGTAGACTAGTTATTGCTAACGATTCTAGAAATCAGTCCAGTATCCTATTTGCCTTATTTTGTACACTTATGCACTTATATTTTTGCCCATGTTCTCTGCTTATCATGAATCAGATCTTTCTCATATTCACACTTTGCAACATGAATATTGTTCAGCTGATATCTCGTAACCGTTAATATTACTTAAACTCAGATCACTACACATTTCAGCTTAAAACAGCAAATATTTCATTCATTTTGAAAGTTGTCTAGATCATCTTGTAGCATTGTTTTTAGTTTTACTGAATTTATTTCTCGCCCAATTTTTCTTTCATCTTCAAATATACCTTTGCTGCTGTTTAATCCTGTATAAATGATTTTTAAATAACAAAAAATGTTCAAAGGGAAAAACAGATGTCAGAAATGTCAGGCTTCATTAATTACGTCTTCAGTAGTAGTGCATTAGATTAAGACGTTAAATTTAACTCGAGACACAATTTTATGTGATAAAATATTAAATTAAATACAAGAGTAAAGAGAGTAATTGCAATAAACAACTAATGGTTCTACTGGCAGGCCTGGCGCTTGACCCTGCAGGCACATTTAGGCAGGCACATGCTAAATCACAGTTCATCGTGGGTTCGATCCCTGCAGCAAGACAGATGCGTTTGACCAATGAGTCCCTATATCTGATGTCTCTGTTCACCTTGCAGTAAACAGGTACCAGGAAGCTGTTGTGGGCTGCATCCTGGGGGATGGTCGGGAGTTGACCCTAGTAGTATCCTGCAGGCTTGAGTCGATGAAATCAACAGAGTCACGAGGTGAACAACACACCGCTCCTGTGCCAGGTAAGTCCACTACGGGCTCACCATAGCCCGTGCTACTTTGGAACTTTTGTTCTAAGTAGCTGAATCTAAAACAACAACAATGAACAACACACCGTGCTTGTCCCCGGCCATGTATTCCTGAATATTATCAACAATATCTGATAACCTGGAAATTATATGAAGACCTTCAGGAACCAAAAACCCATTCTGGGCAAAAAAAACCTACTCTAGGGAAAAAAACAAGGCAAAAAAAGGCAACCCTAGACAGAAACCCACTCTGGGCAAAATAAAAAAAATCGCTCTGGGCAAAACACTTGCCCAACCACTTGAGCTGGACGGTCTCGTTTCAAGCAGGTCGGAGTTCAATCCCCGACCGTCCAAGTGGTTGGGCACCATTCCTTCCCCCCCCCCTCCCCGTCCCATCCCAAATCCTTATCCTGACTCCTTCCCAGTGCTATATAGTCGTAATGGCTTGGCGCTTTCCCCTTGATAATTCCCTCCCTCCTACTTATATACATCTGGGCCAAACAATAACAACCACTCTGGGACATGGCCACACAGACCAGGCCAGACCACTACTGGAGAATATGGCCCCAAGTACACGCATTAAAAGTGAGAAAGTCAGAAAAAGCTAGTTTACGAGACCGGTTCTGAAACAAAGGAATAATCAGACGTTGGGAAAGACAGAAACTCCTGATCGCGCACAACATACAAGAAAATCAGCAGTATATAGAGCCAGGGAGCACGTGGATGGAAATTAGGAGGTAAGTTGAGCAAGAATGATTGGGTGAGTTTCAATTTAATAGTACCAAGCTATTGTGCAATAGTCCCATCTCCCCCGTGCTTCACCAGGACGGGGAGATGGAACACCATCCCTGACCTCTAAACCAGTCCTCTCAAAGACACCTTCGCTTTGCAGCTCATTGAACTGGCTTACCCGTCCCTGTGGCTACGGGCTTTCCTTGTTTCTCCACCATCCTGCCAACCTTCCCTACTCCACCTCTACACGTTCAAATTCTTTGTCGAACCGAGCCTTAAAGTTGTGGATGGAGATGGTCCACAACTTCTTTCAGAGCATTTGACGTGTTAAGTATCCGTACAGGGTACGAGTACTTCCTTATCTTCCTTTGCGGTTTCCAGTATCCACCTGTGTCCTCATCCCTTCTCCTTCTCCTTCTCCTTCTCCTTCTCCTTCTCCTCCTCCTCCTCCTCCTCCTCCATCACTTCCTCTTCCTCTACCGCCATAATTCACACAGCACACAATCAGTTCCAGCAGAAGTGCTTAACTGCCCGCGCTGGGAAACACACAGAGATCAGGGTCCCGGCCGGAACGTCTGCGGTGCAAACTGGATACTCACAACCTGTGTGTCATCTTTTGACTCCATCGTGGGATAGTTGCTGTGGTGGGTGTTGACGTGGGGTAATAACTCTGATAGTTGACACTGTGGGATAGTAGTTGTGATATATATATATATATATATATATATATATATATATATATATATATATATATATATATATATATATATATATATATATATATATATATATATATATATATATATATATATTGTTACGATAATCTCCTTCAAGAGAGATTTGGCCTGCTCTTTCCTATCGTCATGTTACTTCAGTACTGTGGGAACCGACCTGTGAGATTTATATTTATTTAATTTATATGAATTTATATTTACGTTAATTTATATACTTCGATAGCAATTTGTATAATAAGTGGACTGTATTTCTGCAATAATCTCATAATCTCACAAATCGATCCTCTACACATTAGGGGGGGTTTATTAAATTAATATATATGCAGCCAATCAAACTACAGTAATAGCTACATACTATTAAACATTGAAGAGGTTCCTTATCTTATAGTACAGCAGGTTAGTCCACCAGGTATAACTAGGGTGTAGACACCAAATTATCCTCTTTGAGGTAGCTTCCATATCACCCAGTAACTGGTGCACAAATCCTTCCTCGTCTTGACCTGTCAAAAGTGCGCTAGCTGTGAAGCCAGAATCCTATATATGACAAGTATATCAGAGAAAACAGTACATGGAACATGAGGACCTGGCTTAATTACCTTTAGTTTGAGGCTTCCATGTGATCTAACCGGATAACCCTACCCAATGACATTAATGGCCACTAATGATAGATAATGGGTTTCGGATAGACACTTAACTTGAATTTGTAGACAGCGTGTTGATAATGGTACACTTTTAGTTTCCATAACACTACGTCCAAGTAAATTTAACAGGAGCCGAATTTGCTCCCGTGTGAGCCTCTGGTCTAGTACAACAACAATGGCTGCCCTCCTTCCTGCACTCTGACGCCTGGCTTACATTGTCCAGATTTCAGAACGTGATAGAAGGGTCACATTTACTCTACTTTAATATTGATAATTAAGTTAATTTATATAAGATGTTTTTATGATGGTAAAGTCCAAAGACTTATGTATTTAAGAATAATTCCCAGCAGAATAGCTGGTGAATTATAATAGTATGTGGTGATGATATCCCGTTTTCTTTAGACGGTAATTCCACTACAAGTTACGTTTTCTATGGGTAACTTGTTGGTAATACAGCAGAAATTATTTGTATGATATATTAAATGGTGTCGGATTTTCCGACATAATTCCCCAGGGGCTGCTCACGGGTCGAAGTCCTATTTAGAACAGACGAACACCGATACTCCTCCTTCGAATTATTAGATTAATTTGATGTTAGTAGTTAGTAATCACACATTTGTGCGTCTGTTCGTACAGGACGGATGTCCCGTACTAGAGTTGCAGGGGTTAGAAGTCTAATGCGATTTCATTTCCCTGTCAACTCTTGAAAGGCTAATATTCAAGCCTTATTACATATTATTTAACCCAGAAGACTGGATGTGATCAAGTACTACAGTCAAGTATGATTCAGGGACTGCAGTGAGATCAGTGACATTAGATATAACTTGAAGTTTGTTCAGGTAACTAGTCACTGATATATAAACACTGAGGCCCATGGAATACATCTTGATTAAATAATAAATGTATCAAATCAGTCATCAGATTTACTGGGGTTTAATTTAATTAATTGATTCAGAGGATTGAATAGCTCATCATTAAAGTAAAGTATGGTTCTGAGACTGCAGTGGGTTCAGTGACATTGGTCGCAGTGACTTGTAGCTGTTTTAGGCTACTGTTCACTGATTTGCCACTGAGGCCTCATGAACTCATCTTCAGCTTTAAATGATGATACTAACATCAACCTCTGTTACTATAGTCAGCTGTAATCTCCTTAGTATAATGCTACTGGAGAAATATAATCAGCTGACAAATTTAGATTTCTACTGGTAATGTTTATCTGCAGGCATAGGTCTCCTCAGGCTTGATACTGGGCCTGAGAGTAATTTACCTCCTGCAGAGTTTAACATGGTTATACCCTGATATTTAGTAGGGCTACCGATGAATCGATGACAATAGTCTGTCCCTACAAGAAGACCGAAGTCGGTGAGGTGATCAGACTTAATATTATCTGCCAATTTTATTCCTCTATTTCTCAGGAATTTGGCTGTTGCTC